ATCAACACTGACAAAGAAACAGCAAGAAGTGCTGTTTACCTACAAGCATAAAGAAATTACATATATTAGAAACCAACACTTTCTCATTATTTTATTTTCCAGATCACCAGACTGGGCCACAAGCAACGCATGGCAGGGAACAGCTAGTAAATGATAAACAGTTACAGTAAAAACAACAGTTAAAATCAATTATTAGAACATTCATTTAAAAGTTCCTCCATTCGTCTTGGGGGCTTCATATTGAAAAGGCACACAACAACGGCAACAAAGAGATGTATATATTATACTAGCGGGCCCCTGCACGCGTTGCTGTGGCCCAGTCTGTTGATCTGGAAAATAAAGTAATGAAAAAGTGTTGGTTTCTAATATATGTAATTTCTTTATGCTTGTGGCTAAACAGAATTTCTTGCTGTTTCTTTGTGAGTGTTGATGTGGAGAGTGTCTGATTTGCCCACCCTGGAACATGCAACATATCATTGTCCTTCTTTAAGGGTCCCTTTCAAATCTATGATACGATATCTGTGAGTGTGAAACATTTCTATCTATCTATCTATCTATCTATCTATCTATCTATCTATCTATCTATCTTCTTATCTATGCTGTGGCCCAGTCTGTTGATTTGGAAAATAATGAGAAAGTGATGGTTTCTAATATATGTAATTTCTTTATGTTTGTGGGTAAACAGTACTTCTTGCTGTTTCTTTGTCAGTGTTGTGGAGAGTATCTGGTTTGCCCACCCTGGAACATGCAACATATCACTGTCCTTCTTTAAGGGTCCCTTTCAAATCTATGATACTATATGTGTGTGCGAATCATATCTATCTATCTATCTATCTATCTATCTATCTATCTATCTATCTATCTATTTATCTATCTTCTATCTATAACTATGGCTGGATGGCTCTTTGTCAGGAGGACTTTGATTACATTTTCTTGCCCTGATGAAGGGAGTTGGACTGGACGGCCTTAAGTATTTTCTGATGGTCATGGGGGTTCTGTGGGAAGTTTGCCCTGATTCTGTCGTTCGTAGGGTTCAGCATGCTCTTTGATTGTAGGTGAACTATACATCATAGTAACTACAACTCCCAAATGTCAAGGTCTATTTCCCCCAAACTCCATCTGTGTTCATATTTGGGCATATTGAGTGCTTGTGCCAAGTTTGGTCCAGATCCATCATTGTTTGAGTCAACAGTGCTCTCTGGATGTAGGTGAACTACAACTCCCAAACTCAAGGTCAATGCCCACCAAACCCTTCCAGTGTTTTCTGTTGGTCATGGAAGTCCTGTATGCCATGTTTGGTTCAATTCCATCATTGATGGAGTTCAGAGTGCTCTTTGATTGTAGGTGAACTGTAAATCCCAGCAACTACCAATCCCAAATGACAAAATTACCCTTCCAGTATTTTTTTTTTAAATATCCTTTATTGAGGTTTTCATAAAACATAACAGGGGAAAAATATATATATGTATATATATATATATATACATAGAAAAAAGGGGAAAAAAAGAAAGAAGAAGAGCCAAGCAAAAAAGAGAAAAGAAAAAAAAAAGAAAAAAAATATAAAAAATTTAAAATTGGGCCTCCTGGTATCTTCGGAAAATCTTATCAGTCTTCTTGTTATTTATGTCCTTGGATTTTCTTCTTTCCCTCTTTTTAGCGTAATTCAGTCTATTTTTGTATTTCTTATAATACTATTTCTTTTTTCTTCTTTTTTAGATATTCTGTAACGTCACTCCAATCCGTTTCTTTCCTTTTGATTTCTTTATTCTTTAACAATAGAAAGGTTAGCTTGTCTAGGTTTCTTATATCCAGTATTTTTGTTACCCAATCATTTATCTCTGGGATCTCTTCTTGCCTCCATACTTTGGCGTAGCACATCCTTGCTGCTGTCAATATCAAAAATAGTATTTTATCTTTATTCTCCTCCAGTTTTCTATCATACATCCCCAACAGAAAGATCTCCGGTTTCAAGGGCAATTGAATTTTCAACATAGTTTGAATTTCCTTATGTATTCCCCTCCAAAATTTTCTCGCTTTGTCACACATCCACCATGCGTGGAAAAAGGACCCTTCTTTATTCCTACATTTCCAGCAGGCAGTGCTTGTATTATTGTATATTCTACCTAATTTTTTTGGTGTCAAATACCACCTTTGTGATATTTTTACCCAGTTTTCTCTGAGCTCTATTGCATATGCGAACTTTAATCTTTTTCTCCAGATTTCCTTCCATTCTTCTTTTCTGATATTTCTTTGTATATTTTCGTTCCATCTTCTCATGTAGTTTTTCTCCTCATTTTGTTCCAGGTACCATTCTAGTAGTTTTTTGTATAACTTGGTTATTAATTTCCTTTCTGTTTTCATGATGGTATCCCAGAATTCGTTTCCTTGTGCAAATCCTAATTTCCTATCCAGCTTAAATTTTTCTTTAATTTGCCAGTATTGGAGCCATGATTTATTTTTGTCAATTAGGACTAATTCTTGTTGTTCTTTTATTTCTATCTCTCCTTGTTTAATTTTTAGTATTTCTCTATAAACAGGCCAGTCATTCCACCCCAGACACCTCCTTTGCGACGCCTCCAAGGGCGATACCCAGATTGGCGTTTTATTATACAGTTTTAATCTATATTTCTCCCACACTTTTAAAATTGCAGACCTTATGAAATGGTTACCGAATTTTTTTTCTTTTTCTTTCCCTTTATACCAAATGTAATGGTGCCATCCTGCTCTTAAATCTATCCCCTCTAGTGTTAGTAATTTCTTTTTCTTTAACATGGTCCAGTCTCTGGCCCATGTTAGGGCACAAGCTTCAAAATATGTTTTTAGATCCGGAGCAGCCAATCCACCTTTTTCTTTTTGCTCTATTAAATTTTTATAATGTATCCTTGGTTTCTTATTGTTCCAGATAAATTTGGAGATATCCATATTCCATTTTTTAATCACATTCATGTTCCTGATTATTGGCAAGTTCTGAAATAGAAATATCATTTTTGGCAAGACTTTCATCTTGATCGAAGCGATCCTTCCCATTAATGATAAATTTGACTTTTTCCATTTTTCCAAATCCTCTTTAATTTCCCTCCATTTATTTAAATAATTATTTTGTAAGAGATGTAGATTTTTTGCTGTTATCTGGATCCCTAAATATTTTATTTTTGGGACAATCTGCACATTCCATTTCTTTTGTATCTCTTCCTTTTCCCTTTCCCCAATATTTTTTGTTATTGCCTTTGTTTTTTCCAAATTTATTTTAAACCCTGCCACTTCCCCATAGTTTTTTATTTCTTCCAGCCAATTTCCTGTTCTTTCTTTTGGGTTCTCTATAATACAAATTATATCGTCGGCGAACGCTTTGTATTTGTAGTCTAATCCTTGTATTCTAGCACCTTCTAGGGCCTTCTCTTCTCTTATTCTTTTTAGCAGTACTTCTAGTGATAAGACAAATATTAATGGCGATAAGGGACAGCCCTGTCTGGTTCCTTTTTCTATCTGGATCTTGTCTGTTTCCTGTCCATTAATTATAATTTTGGCCTCTTGTTCTTCATAAATTGCTTCCACCGAATTTTGAAAATAATACCCCATATCAATCTCCCTCATTAAAAATTTGAAAAAATCCCAATTGACATTATCAAATGCCTTCTCGGCATCCACGGCCATAAACATTACTTTCTTTTGGTGGTAAATTTCATAGTACTCGATCAAATCTATTACTGTTCTCACATTATCTTTTTGTTGTCTGTTAGGCAAGAAGCCCGCTTGGTCTTCCTCTTCCTCTTCGTCAACTATCGGCCTGTTTCCAATCTCCCCTTTTTGGGCAAAGTCATGGAACGTGTGGTGGCCTCACAAGATAGATAGATAAGTAGATATGACAAGAGATAGATAGACAGAGAGGGAGAGATAGATGGCTAGAGAGATAGATTTATAGATAGATAGATTGATGAATAGATAAATGAATAGATAGATAGATAGATAGATAGATAGATAGATAGATAGATGATTAGATGAACTGATTGATAGATAGATGAATAGATAGATAGATGAATAGATAGATAGATAGACAGACAAATAGACAGATATCATTACATGAAAATAGGTAAACAGATAGATAGATAGATAGATAGATAGATAGATAGATAGATAGATACAGAGATAGATACAGAATAGATAGATAGATAGATAGATAGATAGATAGATAGATAGATAGATAGATAGATACAGATGTAGATAGATAGATAGATAGATAGATAGATAGATAGATAGATAGATAGATAGATAGATAGATAGATAGATAGATAGATAGATAGATAGAGGAGGTAGATAGAGGGATAGATAGATAGATAGATAGATAGATAGATAGATAGATAGATAGATAGATAGACAATATATTATATTATTAGCATACTACAATATCAGTATTATATATTACTATATTGTACTATACCATTATATTGTAATATTATTGGACACCCGAGGATAGATATCGTATAGCTACACATCTATTATATATTTCTATATATATATTGCATATTAGATAAGAGAGAGAGATGAGAGAGAGATGATAGAGAGAGAGCGAGAGAGAGAGAGATATGGGGGGGGGGGAATAGGCCAAAGCGACACCAAATGGGGCGCCTCTGGCCTGGGAAAGATGTCGGTTGTAGCTTCGGGGAGGGTTGGGGGCTTCCTGCGCCTCACCTGAAGATGCACCAGGACTCGAGGTGCCGCAGCGCCCGCTTGTATAGCCGCAGCACCTTCTGCTGGTGGGTCAGGTACGCCGCCATCTTGGCTGCGCCGCCGCTTCTCCTTCAGCCAAGGGGAAAGGACGCCTCTTCCGCAAAGGGTGGCGGGAGGTTCCAAAACTGGTTTGGCCCTCGGCGGCTCCCGTCTGCAAGATGGACACTAGAGCGCTTTGCAGGAAATGACACCAAGGAGAGAGATGTCCCGCTTCGGCTTCCGTCCGAAGTAGATAGATGCAGACTCACGGATCAGAACTGCCATTGGTTCAAAAGGGTTGATTGTGAACTCGGAATTTTAACTTGCGCATATCTCTCTATATTGGATATACCTCTATGGGCTCTTTCTCGAGGAGAAAGCCAGAGTCATGAGCCGCTTCAAGTTCATTGGTGAGATCGGTTGCCGGGCAACCGAGTTGAGGGGAGGGGGGAGGTTGACGTCTATGGAAAGCGGCGTGGGACAATTTGGGCGAGGGTTTTTTGTTTTTGCCCCCTCGTTTGCTATGCTGGGCTCTACGTTTAGCCTTATTGTTTTTTAATAGGGATAATGGCAGGCCTGGGCCAACTTGGGCCCTCCAGGTGTTTTGGACTTTACTCCCACAATTCCTAACAGCCGGAAGTTGAAGTGGGAGTTGAAGTCCAAAACACCTGGAGGGCCCAAGTTGGCCCAGGCCTGCCATAGCATCCCCATGCCTGTGTACTGAGGCGCCTAACTTACTCCCTTGCTTTCTCCAGATATTGGGATCAACTTAACTGACCCAATGTTCAGAGGCATCTACAGAGGAACTCAGAAACATCAAGGTAACCGCTCCCTCCAGGTGTTTGGGACTCCAACTCCCACAATTTCTCACAGCCTGGCTGTGGATAGGCCTTGCTGATGTTGCTTTGTACTGAAAAGAGTGAGGAGGCTGTTTAGACTATCACAAGAGCTGTCATAGAGTTGTTAGGCTGTGGGATATGCTGAAAGCTTATCAGAAGGATGACCATCTGTCAGGAGTGCTTTGCTTGTATTTTCTTGCATGGCAAGTGTTTGGACTGGATGGCCTTTGTAGTCAATGGTTCTATAACAATTATTTATTATTATTATTATTATTATTATTATTATTATAACTTTATTTATACTCCGCAAAATCTCCCGAAGGATTCGCTGCGGCTTACAAAGGCCAAGGCCGCCAACAACAACAACATACAAATATAACAGTAAAACTCATAAGCAAATAAGAAGACATCAAGCAAAACAATAAAAATCTAAAAACAATGACACCATGATGCATTTAAAACCTAAAGGCCGGACCAAATGTAATAGACAAAATCCAAAAGTGCTGAACTTGACAGGAGGTATGTAGAGGTTTTTTGAAGGTAGGTGCAATGTGCAGACAATCCTAGTCTCTAACAAAGTGCAATTGGGACATGATGCCAGGAGTTTCCTAATCTGGAAAGGCACACTGGAACAGCCAGGACTTTAGGCTCTTCCTAAAAAATTTTATTTATTTATAACCTGCTTTATCTCTCCATATGGAGACTCAAAGCAGCTCACAATCAAAAACATTACAAATTAAAGTATACAAATATACAATAACAAAATAGTATATCATTACTGTATATACTCGAGTATAAGCCTACTTTTTCAAGCTGAAAAAGTCCCCCTCGGCTTATACTCAAGTCAAGGTTATTTATTATTTTCCTCTGTTATTATTTTTATTACATTTATAATTTTACTCTATTATTATTACATTTATAATTTTACTCTATTATTATTATTACATGTATTATTTTACTCTATTTATTATTGTTATAACATTTATTATTTTATGATATTATTACTGGTATTTTTACATTTCCATTATTATTATTATTATTATTATTTATTTTACTCTTTTTATTATTATTGGAAGGATACGTAAGCACATTTACATTGAAGAAGGTTAGAATAATGGTTTAATCAGAGTTAGGCAGTCTTATCTTAAATTACAGTTTTATGTAAATATTTAATCTACTGATGCCTCAATTATTTAATTTTATTGGTATCTATTTTTATTTTGAAATTTACCAGAAGATGCTGCATTTCCCATCCTTGGCTTATACTCAAGTCAATACGTTTTCCCAGTTTTTTGTGATAAAATTAGGTGCCTCGGCTTATATTCGGGTCGGCTTATGCTCGAGTATATATGGTATATATTGTTATATATTACCAGTAGTGATATTTAATATATTAGTATTACAATATTATATTATTCTATATATTATATTATTGTATTATATTATCAATATATGTATATATTTTAGCATAGCACAGTATTAGTATATATTACTATATTGTACTATATTGTACTATTCCACAATACTCCAATATTATTAGTAACTAGCGTTGCTGTGGCCAACCTTCCCTCACTCTTTCTCTCCTTCCTTCCCTTTTTTTCTTTCCTTCTTTCCTTCTCTTCCCTTCCTCTTTCTCCCCTTTCTTCCTTCTCTACCTATTCTTGGACTGCAACTCCCAGCAGTCCTCCTAATCGATTTATCTACCTACCTACCTACCTACCTACCTACCTACCTATCTCTGTCTATCTGGATGATTGCTGGGAGTTGCAGCCCAGAAATAGGAAATTGGAAATATATAGGGATTGGGATGCTCTCAAAGAAATCCAAGGAGAAGAAAGCTTGCATCTTGGAAGCAGTGCACTTGGATCATCCTCCTCTACTAAAGGGCTGGTCTAGGGGATGCTGGGAGCTGTAGTCCAGAAGAGAGTGTGGATATGCTATTGTGTGTTTTGTTTGTAAGGGAGTCGTTTTTGCATGTGCACTAGCATCTTTTTGCTTTTTTGGCTTTTGAAGTCCCTTCTGCTGTGTTTTTCAGTGTTTTTATGAGTGATGGTCACTCATTGGCCTGATAGGTGTATTGTATCCCAATTTGGTGTAAATTTGTCCAGTGGTTTTTGAGTTATGTTAATCCCATAAACAAACATTATATTTTTATTTATACAGATTCCACTATACTCCAATATTTTTAGTAATAATACATGTAATATATAATATACAATTATTATATTATTATATTGTACTATATTATTATATAACAATATATACACTACTATTACTATTATTATATATTATATTGTACCATATAATAAGTTATAGTATATATAAAATATATTACAACATTTTATATATATACACACACACACTTACATTACAATGATATTATTTCTATATTATTATATTGTATATATTGAGGGGCTCCCAAGTGATGCTGCAGGAGACAAGATGGAGCTGTGCCTTCCTGGCTGCCCCTCTTCACACTGTGGCCCCAGAGCAGCAGACAGTCTAGCTGCTCTGGGCTCCTGGGAGAAGGAAAAGTGGCTGCACTCTATTTATAGAGAGTGTACTCTCATTTCTATCCCTCCCTCAATTGAGCAGAGAGCAGGTCAGATTTTGAGGCATACTGGTTGGTCTTTATTAAATATGTCTTAGAGAGCGAAAATGGAAAACAACAGAATTTGATGGGTCAGGAATTTTGGAGATGACATTTGATTAATGGCTGATTTATAAATACATGGTGAAGGAAATTATACTTGTTCAGGCCTTGGTGGTGGGGTTATGTGTTTGTAAAATGTTCACTGTTTTGGGTTTTGTCTATTTTGTAAGTTGTTATTGTATTTAAATAAAATCTTTAAAAATTGAGCGGAGAGCAGTTGCTTTCCCATGGTCCGAATTGCCTCCATCCTTTCCTCTCCTCCCTCCTCCTAGTAAGCAATATAGTAGGCGTCCATCTTGGAGTTTGGCTGCTTTTAGGCAATGAAAGGGTGCATAATTCTGCCTGCAGAACTATGCACACCAGTAGAATGTGGACCATATTTTGCAGTAAACACCAATGGTTTCAGTAAATACACTTTGGCTTTCAAATTGAGACAAATTTGGGCAAGTCTCCAGGTGGAACATATTCAGCAGTTAAAGAACAATCTCTACAATTGCTGATGTGCCTAAAAAGCTTCAGTGGTAAACATATGCATATGATAGTTGCTTAAATATACTGAATGTCTACTTAGGAAAATATGTATGAAGGCAAATACAGCCATAGCCCTCAAATTGCTTGAGTCACATACCATTTGCAAACTATAAAGGTTAGTTATACATTTTTGGATAATACTGTTTAGGGCCTTTTCCAGACAGGACCTATCCCAGGATCTGATCCCAGGTTTTCTGTTTATCCAAGATTATCTAGCAGTGAAGACTCATATAATCCAGTTTAAAGCAGAAAACCTGAAATCAGATCCTGGGACATAGGGCCTGTCTGGAAGAGCCCTTAGTGACTGAGAGTGGCTTCCTGCTTCTTGGCAGGGGTTGGACTGGATAGCCCATAAGGTGTCTTCCAATTCTATGATTCTGTGACTGTTGGCAAGTTGCAACAAGAAGGAAACTACAAGAGCAGCTGCTAGTAAATGGCTCAAAAGCAGACTGAAACATAATTGTTTATTTATACTTCTAATTTCTCCCAGCACTGAAGTCAAGATGTGTAACTGCTACTTAAAAACAGATATAACTAAAATATTAATACAAAAGTTAAAATATGATATTAATTGTTGAATTGTACCAATACTATTTCTTCCAGATGACTTCCTAGATGTAGTGGACAGGGCAACCAAAACTGGTGTTAAAAAGGTAATTATTTTTTAAAATAATTTTACATACAATAATTTTCCTCACATTTTGCTGCATAACTGTAATTATTTATTTTATCATTTAATACATATTTTTCCCAAGAATATTTATTTATTTATTATTTACTAATTACTGTAACTACACTTATGACTATATTTTTCTTTATTCCAGTTCATGATTACGGGTGGAAGTTTGCAAGACAGTAAAGATGCTCTGAAGCTGGCAGAAACAAATGGTATTTGTCTTTTATATGGGTTTGAATGAAATGTGTTCACTATCCTATATTTAACATGTACAATAGTTTGAACCCAGATTGGTTGAAGATTGGAGTTGGCTTTAAAGAGTCATGAGTGGAAGGGAATTTTTACTAGCGGTGTTCTGAATGTTGCAAATACACTGTAATCATAAGTTAAATCCCAACATATATATTTGACAACAATATAGCAAATTATACATTAAATTTCACCTACATGCACTGTATTCAAATATCCAAGCATCCAATAAGATGCCAGCGCGGAACATGATTGCAGAACTTGTCAGCCTATCTTGTTTAGTAATTTTTCAACATTTGGATAAAGTTCTAAAGCTTTAAATAAAATACAAAATAGAAGCAAATGCATTATGGAAATTATGCTACAAAGAATGTACCTTTGTGTTCCCTCCTGAATACATAATTGAAAATACCATTACTTCATTAAAAGCCAAAAGGGTCCAGCCCCTTACTCTGGCAACTGCAGTGCTGTCCCAAGTCCAGCTATCCCTCTGTTTCTGAATTTCATAAATACTGCCTTTTCCTTGGGGTTCACCACCCAATGGGCCTAACTCATAGAAATTACACAAACTGCAGTTCCAGTAATAGAGGAAGACTTCAGGTGCTAAGGCCAAAGCTCAGAAAGGGTTTTTTTTAGGGAGATTAGAACATGCTGTCTGGAAAATTTTAGGAGACGTAGTCCTAAAATCTAACATTTCTAAGCATTTTATTATTTGCGCAGACTCAATGTAGATCCATTAATATGGTTAGGAAGTCTTCTATGTCATTTTTCATCTCTAGTCCTTCTTACACTGTGGACCCCAGCCCCAAATGGGGATCCCCTTTGCTCAATATTGGGGCCACAATAAGTTTGGCAACTGTAGGGTTCTGAACGCCTCTCATTTACTGAAATCTATTGGTAGTAATTGGCAGTGTTAATAGCGAACTCTGCAAATAACGTTTCAGCTGTCCTCCACAAAAAAAAATCTGTTTAGCAAGCCCTGCAGGTTTTTATACCTGGAGTCATGTAAATGTGGGACATTTAATGTCTTTAATGTTCACAGATCCAGGGATAGAGAGATGTGAAGTTCCGCCAGTTGGAACTATGCAAGTTTGCCTTCCTCATAGTTAGATGCACAGAACCTGGAGGCTTCCCATTGACCCTCCAGCAGCCACTAAAGGAGCCTTGTCCTGTATTGAACCTGGCAACCCGAGTAGGATGCCACCTCTGGGTCTCATTTTATTTGTTAAAGTAAATCAAGAATTAAAACACTGCCATCTGATAATGTGTCTTGAGGAATTACTAGTTTAGAATTTGAATCAGTGATTCTTTTGTTGTTGGGAAGAGTGTCTGTATCTTTCCACGTTTTTAACTGTGGTATCATCTGATTGTTTATTAATTTAAATATATGTATTGCAACCTAACATCAAGAGTTGTTTACCTCTGTTCAAGTATGTGCAATCTAACAGTTGTTTATCCCTGTATACATGTAGAATCACAGAACTAGAAAAGATCACAAGGGCCATTCGCTTCCATCCATCTGCCACCTGGTGGCATTGAATTGATCACCAGTGCTGATTTTTTGTCCTCTAAATATCATACATTAGGAGGCAAAACTTATTTTATCTAGAGCTAGGGCTTTATTTATTTATTTAGTTGTGACAGGAGCGACTTGAGAAACTGCAAGTCACTTCTGGTGTGAGAGAATTGGCCTTCTGCAAGGATGTTGCCCAGGGGACATCTGGATGTTTTGTTGTTTTATCATCCTTGTGTGAGGCATCTCTCATGTCCCCACTGGAGCTGATAGAGGGAGCTCATCTGCACTCTCCCCAGATTCGAACCCGCGACCTGTCAATCTTCAGTTCTGCTGGCACAGGGATTTAACCCACAGTGCCATCGGGGGCTCTGGAGCTAGGGCTGTTTCAGCCATTATAAAGCAGCAATTCTAGGATTGCTGTAATATGTCCAATAAACAGGCAGCCATAGGCAATCCTAGTTTTGTAGCAGATGTACAAATGTGATCATATATATTTGCATGCATATGGGTTTCATTTCACTTCACATTTTAGGAACCTCCAAAAATCTTAAGATGTTTCTGTAAAATATGTGCAAAATTGTTCTACTTAGAAATAGGAATAGATGCAACTCGGTGACTTTAAAAAAATGATTTGGGATCAGATATATTTTTTCAACTTTGTTTCACCACAAAAGGTTTTTATGAGTCAATACTGCAGATGTTCACCCACATGGGCTGTCATAAAGCTGTTATGCCCAAAATGAATGGCCTAGTATTGACTTGAATTGCAGTAATGCCATTGAATTGCCAGTGAATGGCATTGCCTAGTTTTGAATCCGACTGAATGCTTAATGAGTCTGGCTGAAAGGAGTAATGCTGTGCGCTTTCTCTGCCATGGTTTCCAATTTGTCTATGTAAGAGTAATGCCAGCCAGTTTCATGGGGAAAGTCACAAAGTATTTTGCATATGATATGCTACAGATATTGAATTAAGATCTATGAAAAGTGCACACAGGAGTGTTTTCAGCAGTAATCCAGAGAAACATTTAATGTTGCCTCTTCTTAATGTTAGGCCCTGGAGATTGTCTTCTTTCTGCTTAAGCTTTAATGTGCCATATGGCACATTAAACTCCTGCTTAATGCCAATACTATAGCAGTAACAACTAAAACTTTATGTTCTTTCTTTTCAGATATGTTTTATAGTACCGTTGGCTGCCACCCTACCCGCTGTGGAGAATTTGAGCAGAATAACCCAGACCAGTACTTACAGGAGTTACAGGAACTAGCTAAGAAAAACAAAGGAAAGGTCATTGCCATTGGGGAGTGTGGCTTGGGTAAGTATTAGCCAATTGGCTTGAGAAAGCAACCTTTATACAGCACTCTTTCAAAAGCCAATGAGTTGTGTTTCCTCTTCCAGATTTTGACAGATTAGAATTCTGCCCTAAAGGCACCCAACTCAAGTAAGCTTTTATTATTATTTTATGTCATTTAGAATTTTCTTTCCAATGTTTTGCAGTGAGACTGTTTTCTGTAACTGGAAAGCACAGAATGCTTGTCTTTTCTTCCTCTCTACCGCAATTCATGTGAACCCCCAGCTCCACACCATTTTCATGCTGTATTTAATGGGTGGGACGAGACAGCCATGCCTTCTGTGTCATGAAGCAAAAGTATCAATTTCCATCCCATGTTTTTTTGGCATGGACCAGTTAAGCCCCTTTTTAAATATCTTCACTCTTCTGGAGTTATTTCTAAATTAGGCATGGGCAAACTTCGACCCTCCAGGTGTTTTGGACATCAACTCCCACAATTTCTAACAGCCTACCAGCTGTTGCAAAAGGGGTGTTTATTATTGTGTGCAGCTTTCTTGAGAACAGGCGAGTCAAAGAAAGTGAAAAATTAATGTGATCCTATACAGTTCATGTAGCTATGTTTTCAGTTCCTCGGGATCTATTTGACACCCCCCCCCCCCCCCCCCCCCCCCCCCCCCCCCCCCCACACACACACACACACCAAGTCTGGAGCCTTGATAGTAAACATTTTATCCCCGCCCTCTTCTCTGCTCACTTTCTTTTTCTATAAATTGCTTTGGGGAGAGTGGGACAGGCTAATGTCCGAAATAAATGCCTTTGAATGACACATCATGCTCCTCATAGGCTTCTGCGATGCTATTTGCTGTTTGGGGGAAAACTTAAATTGCACACAAATGTGTCTAATTGTCCAAATATTTGCATCCTTGATGGCAGATCAGAAAGTTCTGACAAACTGATCGTCATTTGCTTGATAATTATGCTCTTCTGTACAGGGAGAGAACCAGCATCATTTCTTGGCAGCACAGTTGGTTAGCTAGGACCCTTTCACTGTCCAAAGATAAATTGCAGTTCTGTAATATACCATCTGACATTTACACAGCATGAGCAGCCGCAACTTTCTGTTGCAAAATCCTATGTAAACAATGTTGTTTTTCTTCATTGCAAAAAATCAACTAGAACCAGTAATCCATTTTCTAGATTTTACAATCTCATTTGTATCTAAAGCCCACAGGCTCTATGTAGGCTTTTAGAATGATGTTTGGAGAGAGCAGTGGAGACTTTTATGAGGTAAACTTATTCAGTAGCCTCCATATGCAGGCCACTGAACCACTTTCCATGTGTTCTCTGTAATATTTGGAAGCAGCTTGATATGACTGCACTTTATTTCATGAAGTTATTCCACTTCTAGAGTGACCAGTACCCATTTGATTCAGATAATCCACGTAATAACAGCATTCGGAAACCTCCAGCAGGTAGGTTGTAACAATGAAATTAACTCCACACATAGGTCACTTTCCAGTGTTCTTTATAGCTTAGAAACAGTATGGCATATATTGCATTGCTACACAGGAACAAGGTTTTTCATAGGAAATTAGAAATGGAGATAGAGAGCCAAGAGAGATTAGACACAGAGCGCCAAGGYATGCTTCTGCAGTTTCTTTAGGTTATAAGAGGGTATCCATAACCTCWTACTTTGGGTCAGAGGAAAAACAGCATGTTTGTTTGTTTGTTTATTATTTAAACTTATATGCCGCCACTCCCCTGGGGCTCGGAGCGGCTTACAAGAATAACTAAAATCTAACAAAATTTAAAAGCAGTTTAAAACAATTTAAAAACAACAATATCAAACATTAAAAGCCTGTCAAAACAGGTATGTCTTACATGCCCTGAAACAGGTATGTTCCAGCCAAATATAAAGCACTTTTGACRTCTGCTAATTTTGGACACCTAGCCTTCCTAATTTAATATAATGGGAACGAAAGTTCTCCAATCTGGCCACACTGTGTCCAAATCTACCCTGTATATCTAATTTCTAAAACACCTGTTCTGTTTCTGTCTCGTTTAGGTGACCCAAGACTGAAATTAAACATGCAAACCTTCTGCTTTCTTTCAGATATTTTGAGAAGCAATTTGATTTGTCTGAGCAAACAAAATTACCAATGTTTCTACACTGTAGGAATTCACATACCGAATTCATAGGTTGGTAAATAAAGTCTTTTTCCTTGGGAAATTGAAAGCATTTTTAAGAATTGGGGGGAATGCCACATTGTACTTTTAAAATGGAAAATATTCTTGTTTTTGCAGATATTATGAGGCGAAACAAGGATAGAAGTGTGGGAGGAGTGGTAAGTGCAAAACTCATACTTTGTTGTGTTTTCACTACCATCTTTTTTGGCAATACAGTTTTCTCCTATTGCTAAATGTTTGCTTCCCTTTATAGTTCTGAAGTCTTTGCAAGGGAACTAGTCAAGGAAATCTGCAATCTACACATGACATCAGCATTTTTTTTGTTTTCTTCAAAGCACAACCTATGCAGTCTGAATTTCAGCTTGCCATTCTGAGATTTGCAGTCTGGAGACTAGCTGAATTCCACTTAAATATATGTATTTACAGGAATTATGTACAGATTGTATTCAGTACAGATTTATGGCTTTCACTCAACACTAACTATAAATATTTGAAATACTTTATACAGCTATATCCCACCCTTTAAAAAACTGAAAGCAAAGCTCATGATTTGCATCTTTCTGGCCCCTATTATATTCTTTCCCACTCTTATAACGGTATGAATATAGCTTATTAACAGAGGTTTTAGTACTTTATGACTCCGTATTGCATCTGAAGAAGTGATTTTATAGCTACAAAAACTTTTACTAAAATAAAAACCAGTTAAGTCTTAAAGGTGCTTCTACATTCCTTTTTTCCTCCCTCTTTCTCCTTTTTATGCTCCAAGATACAAACACAGAAACTTCTCTGAAAACGAATGTTAAGTGTTTATAAGAAAATCCCTTTTAATAGCATGCTCTTTATATTAACTTTTTATATATTTGGAACTGCACAATTCTGTGGAGTGTTTACTTTCCTAGAACAATAACATTTTGTATACTTTTATCTGTAAGTTTTCCATCTGTACCTTTTAATTTGTGTAAGCCGCTTATAAAAACTATAAGCCTCTTTGTGAAAAATATAAGCTGCTTTGAGATATAAACATATTAAATTAATAATTATAATATAGGACTAAATCCTAGGGTGGATTCTGACTAGAGTAGACCCATTGAATTAGTTAGGTGTTCCATGTGATAACTCAGCATTTGATAATTGATTCAATGGGCCTGCTCTAGCTGGGATTAACCAAGAGGACTCCGGGCATAATACTATAAAAGATGATGCTACTGTCATCAGCACTGCATCTAAGCTCTATCTAGCGGAGACCTTAATCCTGTCCTAGAATAAAAATACCAAATCCTCTATCAGGGCTTTAGTCTGGCAGTTGAGTGAATTATACTGCATCAGGCTGCTAATCCCATTATTTTATATTAATTAGATTAAATCAAGAGCCTGGTCTTAACTGAATTGTCTGTCAGTCTGCAAAGACTGCTTTATAATACAGCTATGATTGTTTGGCTTTTACCAATCCACATTCCCACCGATGCAGATTAAATTTATTATATAGCTTTTCATTGTGTTCACTTGTCAAGTTTCACTGAGAAAGATTGGCAAAGCTGTCTAAGAAAGAAAGAAAGGTAAAATGACGATTGAGTACTTTGATGCTTTTGTTACCTACCTTATAACCAGACGTGCATATCATGCTTTTTTCAGGTCCACTCTTTCGATGGCACCAAAGAAGAGGCGGCAGCTATCATAGAGTTGGATCTTTATATAGGAATAAATGGCTGGTATGTAATTTTAAGTATAATGGTGGAGAAATAGGACTTATTTTAAAACTATTATTTAAACCAGTGCTATTCAAGAGTGGTGGTCCCCGGATTGGGGGGTCTGTCTACAGGCCATCAGCTGCTGGGTGCAGATTTTTTTTCCTGGAAAGAAAGAAACAGCTATAGCCAATGGGGGGAAAAGAGGATACTAGAAATAAAGAAGAGGGTGATGCCAATCCCCCACATCCTCCTGAGAAGCATTGTTTTGACTAGTCTCCCCCATATATTATGGCAAAATGCTTGTTTTGCAACCCCAAGCAAATATCACTGTGTGGGCAAAATAGATCTGACAGGTCTTTGTCTGAACTAGCACAACTCTTTTTATAGGGAAATTTTCAATAGAAAATAGCCAGTATAAAAAGAATAAGCGAGAGCAAACACTTTTCACTCCCCCTCTGCACCAAAATAACCTTGAGACACTACTAATGGAAGGCGTTACAAGCAACTGTATGTATTGCCTACCTGCAACCTTAGTTGGGCTTTCACATTTCACAGAGAAATGAAAGCAGGATTATTACTGTGGAAGTCTGGGGAAATACACGTGGAACTGGACTATACACGTCACTGTAATTATTACATTTAAGTTTAACTGATGCCAATGCAACAGCTCAGTGCTTGTTGCACTGGCATCAATTGAACTAGAAAAACGGCTCTGGGGCAAGAATGTCCACTGTGGTAGATCCAGGGATAAGAGCTATTGTATGAAATCACATGACGTCATACACACACAAGTTCAACAATTCAGAGCATTTTATCACATTTCAAAGCAATATTTTTAAATTATTTCCAGTTCACTGAAAACAGAAGCCAATTTAGAAACAGTGAAGTCAATTCCAAGTGAAAGATTAATGATAGAAACAGGTAAGTATGCATTTTGATCAATATTTGGCAAAACACTCAGATCTGGGACATGTTCTGTTTGCAGTTTTGCAAAGGCTTACTTCTATAAAACTGAATGGAAGTTTTAGCTCAACATGATCTTGAAAAAGGAGAAACACTCCAAACATCTCTTTGTATGAGGACATCTAATCTATTGACAGTGCTATAAGGAAGAAAAACTTTCTGAACATTTTCTGTTTCAAGGCCAGTTTGATAGTTTGATAGTATGTAATCTATTAGTTTGATAGTATGTAATCTATATCCCAATTTTAATAATTATTTTCAATCCCTAAAATAGCATTGAGCTTTGGTGTGGCCTATCTACATTTCTTTGAAATTCCTCAAACTGTCTGTTCTTCAGTAAATACAACCTTATAAAATAATGTTTCAGGCATAGGTTTCAGATTTTTAATCAGCTCTTTTAAGTAATTGCACAGCCAGAACATGCCTAGCAAATATTTTTTCAAATAATGTCTAGATTTAAAATTGATAAAGTGATAAAACTTTTTTAAAAGCATGTTTAAAAAAAGGGTAGAATTGGAAGAAATGTCTTAGCTGATTAAGATTTGCAATATGAGATAAATTATAAAATGGTTGTGGTTCATTAACTATTTCTTAAAATCAAATTAGATGCTCCCTGGTGTGGAGTGAAAAACACCCATGCTGGATCGAAATATGTAAAAACTATTTTTCCTACCAAAAAAAAGTGGGAATCAGGTCACTGCTTGAAGGACAGGAACGAACCTTGCCACATCATGTGAGTATGCCATTTAATATGTGCCAAGGCTTCTCTCCAGTTGGGGTTAGAGACAACTGCATCCCAGTAAAAAACAGTTATGGAAATGCGGGTCATAATGTATTTACATTTCTTAGCTTTAAATTGGATTTAGTCATTACTGCCTGTAAACAAAACTTTTTATATAATGTAAGAATGGCAGTGCTAATTTAAATAAGGCATACCTACTGTTTTTTGAGAGTAGATCCACTGAGTCTAGGTAGATCCACTAAGTCAATGGAACTTGCTGGCATATTACAAAGTTTCTATTGATTCAGTGAGAAGCCTTGGAAAACTAAGTGAAGCCAGAAAGCTGCAATTGTTCTGAATGATAGTTTATACTCCCAACAGTCATTTGTCGGGAGTATAAACTCTATGTATATGAAGATTCACCAGAACATCAATCTGTACTACATACAAAACTATGGTTCATGTAATACAGAAGCTTATATACGACATCCCCTTGCCTTATAGAAGAAAAAAATAGTAGGGAGTATACAAGCCAAGGGTGAGGCTAGTTTCATACTGTTTCTGCTCAAAGATTGTTCAGTGTGATAGTTGCACACAGCCTCTCTTTCTGTGTCTCTATTGCACATAGGCTTGACCCTTAATGTCTTCTGAAATCCTATATACCAGTAGTGCTTACCATGTTAAGAGTTTTCAAGTTACATATGCACATAAGCAGTAAAATAACACCAGAATATCCCATAAACTGCTCCATTTCTAAAACATCTGTTTCCTTTTAGCCAAATACTGGAAGTACTAGCAGCAGTACGTGAAGAAGATCCATTAGAACTGGCCAACACTATGTACAACAACAGTATTAAGGTCTTCTTTCCGGATATGTAAAACAGTTTATGTATTATTATGTATCCAATGAATTTTGTTCATTAAACAAAAAAGATGGAAGTCTTCTGTTTGTAATCTGAAACCATTATTTAAAGTGTATGCTTATAGGATGAGTGGGGTATAAATAGGTGGGAAGAATGTTTTAAAATAACCACTTTTTGCAATATTGATACCAAACCAGATTTCATAATGACACTTCTTTTAATTATTTACTTTCAGGTATTCTGTTTATTTTAGCATCTCATGAGATCAAGTGGATTAGATCAATTCCAAGATTTGTTTGCTATGACTAGAAGGGCTCTGCCCACTGAAGGTGCTTCCCTCTAGACCAGTGGATCTTAACCTGTGGGTCCCCTGATGTTTTGGCCTTCAACTTCCAGAAATCCTAACAGCTGGTAAACTGGCTGGGATTTATGGGAGTTGTAGGCCAAAACACCTGGGGACCCACAAGTTGAGAACCACTGCTAGACCATGGGTTTCAGCCATGGCATCCAGTTAAGAGTGCTGCCCATATGGGATACATGGGTATCAACTGCTAATCTCTTTAGCAAGTACCTTTCAGTACCTTCAGGGAGCTGGAGGAGTTGCAATAGAAGCAGCTGCCTGGAAGGTGGGGGGGGGGGGTTGCTTCTAGCAGCCTAGAGACAAGTGTGTAAATGTGGCTCTACCCCACTGAATGCAAAGTTTTTTCACCAGAATGGAACTGTGAGGAATTAGCCACACTCTCACCAAAAGTTATTTTCTTCCACCCCACATTTTTTCCTACTTTCTATAAACAAACAGTAGCAGAAATGGCAACACTTAAGAGAAACCTAAACTTTATTATAGCTGTCGGTTTGGAAACTATATTTTCACAGACTTTTTTTTTTAAAAAAACAGAGTGCTAGCTCTTGTTCACTGTTTTCATGGGTGCCTCCTTGAGAGACAATTTTCAATATATCCTATAATTGAGTGGTTTCAGTTTATCGAAGTATGGTAATCTTGGCCCAACATATACACCATCATTTTATCATCAATTAAGGAGTGTTTTGTTCAACTCTTTAAAAATATGCGAAAACACTTTATTCCATGTACAATAATGTACATAAAGATTAAGGTGGTCTCAAAAGAGACCAGCAGTAATTGGAGGTATATTTACAGTAGCACATCACAGTAAATTAACAACCCATTCACAGATTCAACATTTTGAGATACTGTTCTTGTGCTTAGATACACACTGATGAAGTGAAGCTTTTATTCCATTGTTGAACTCCACTATTTACAAACACCCACAGTGTTTAGTATATGACATTTTTAAACCAGTGAAAGTCCTGTTCAATTGTCAGAGTGTTGTTCAGACACTGAGACATCACACTGAGCTGAGCTCTCGGGTTCTTCCTCCTCTTCACTCTCTGTACTGCCATTATCTTCATTCAGTTCATTTTCGACATCGGCTGCAGCTGCTTCATCTTGGACAGGATTTTCATTTGGTTCATTTTCATCAAGTGCAACAAAGCCATTGTTATTTGAGAGATTTGTGTTCTCCTTCTCATCAATATAAACTTTTTGATGGCACATTGGACAAGTGTCCTGGATATAGAGCCATTTCCGAAGGCAAAGTGCATGGAAGTAGTGATTACATGGCGTTATACGGGCAGATGTAGTAAACTCATGATAGCAGATTGCACACACATCATCTATTTCACGTAATCTGTCTCCTTTGACTTCAGGAAGTGAGTTGATTTTCTTAACTGCTGTCCTGCGGTTTATAAAGGTTTTCCAGCCATTCCTTGCTTGCAGATAAATATTGAAATAGGCATGTAGGCACATCATACAAGCCCGAATTTTGCTTCCTGATTCAAACACCATGGTGTAAGCGCCATTCCCAAACATAACTACTCCAAATACAAACTCAACAATATTGCCCGTTGATCGAACATAGTAGACATAATCATCCAGCTTTTCCCATAGTACATTATAGTAGCCATCAATCATGAAAAGTATATAAACAGTGACTGAAACAATAACCTTCAAGCAGAGTTCTACACAAAATGCGGTAACAGCAAACAGCCATGTATTTAATGCATAGTGGTTCCAAAGGATGTAACTGAGCAAAATTGGAAGAACAAACAGGCAAGCTGAGACGAAAAGAACTGGGAAGTGTCTGCGAAATGAAGACACATGGGAGGCACTCAAAGACATTAGGACTGGGTCTGTCATCCCATGGATAAAATGGAGGACTGCAGTCAGCAAAAGGCACATGTTTCTACTTAAACGGACCAGTCTCTCTTCTGGCTTGAGTCCACTTAAGCCAGTCTGTAGGGCCAAAATAAAAAAAAGGACTGGTGCCACAAAACCAAGCCTCTTGTCATCTTCATCAGTAGATCCAATAAAGGCCAAAATTCCAAGGCCCAGATAATGAGCTACAGATGAAATTACAGCACTCATGCCTAACACAGTTAAAGTAGAATCACATCCGCTGATAATAAGGCTGCAAAGTAAATCCCAGAAATTGTCCCAAGAAATCGTGTAGAATTTCCTGCCTGGATCGGTTTCGGCCATTTTGACAACATAAGTTAGTACAACAGCTTGAATTATAAGCCTCATTAGCCAAAAGACACGCAATACAGATGGAAAACGAATCCTTTTCCATGTATCTTCCAGCAACAATTGTAATCCATAAATGCGATACATGTGCCTTATAAGAAGGAAAACATACCTAGTAGAGTAGTAGAACCGTTTCATCTTAAAAGCTAAAATGGCGAGGGTGTAGAAAGTCAAAATGATGCCTGAGGTAAAGACTAAACTCTGCCTGATGTGTAAAGGTAATTCAATAATTAGGCCTGCAATAGGAATCAATAAATCCAGAATGATTAGCTGGGAGTATATGGAGTCGATATTTAACAGTGCAACGTAGCCAATTCCAAAGGCAAGCTGAAGGATAATGAGGGTCATCCATAAAGAAGGTCCTTTCTGAGGAAGGAGCTGAACTCCAAAAGCTGTTGTGTAAGAGGCACTGTGGAAGTTTATGTGCAAAAAAGCATAATAGTTCACCAACACTGATGTTGCTGCTAGCAGAATAGCAGAGCTGATCACGTAAAACCTGAAAAGTGCTCTTTGAGACAGAACAAGAACAACAGTGAATACCAAGACACCTGTAAGAAAAAAACAGAAAGAAATAGGTAAGCTGTATGTTCATCATACAGTGAGCAATTATGATATACTTGGTAAAATATAAGCCTTTGGAAGTAAAAAACTGGGCACACCCTGCCAATCTTCTACAGCTGTTTTATCAAATTTTTAAGGCGCCTCCTATTTTTGTTGTCTCCAACACACAGTCAAAACAGGCCCTTGAGTTCTGCTGTACTACTACAATAGTGGGTCAGGTCATCACTTGTGCAAGCTTCTCTTAGCTTAAAGATTAAATCATTGTGGAAGAAGCATCAGCCTAATGCTTCTTATTATATATGCCTTATGACAGTAAGTTATGTCATTAATCAAGCAAACTCTGAATTTGAAAACAAAATCTAGCAATACGCTTTTTAAAAAACTGTATTAAGCAGAAAGGCAGTATACATGCATTTTACTATATAGTAACAGTGGCAGGGGAGGTAAGTCATTTCGTACAACTAAGGCATAGATATTTTATATTCATAAACTTAGTCTGGAGAGAAGATAGTTTATGGGAAAAGATGATCGTAAAAACAAGTAATCGGAGTGCTTAAGATAGGTTTCCCTGCCATCTGTCTTGGAGGAAGAAATTAACTTTAAAAACCCATTGGTCCATCTAAGGCAAATGGTGATGGTTTAGGATAAGCAGAAGCGTACCCCTCTTCTCCCAGCTTAAAATAACTTGTTTATAACACTGACCTTTCACTTACACTAGTTACTGGAAACAGAGACAAACTTATACTGTTTCAGGGAGCAGTGAAGCGCTGCAACAGCTGTTTTTGAAATATACCAAACATGGAACCAAAGAAGGGATGTATCTCAGACGAATCATGTCAAGTTTTTCTATAAAGCTTTGAAGATATCAAGATTTCCAAAGACTAAGAATTAGGGTTGGAATCTGGTCCTTGGGACACAACAAAAAGGTTCAGGAAGCCACGTGCTTGTCCTGAATTTGTGGTATTAGCAAATATGAAAGCAGCGAAAATATTGTCATGAGTCCCATCATAACATCTCATATACACTGGGTTTAATCTATATTTAGTCATGCTTAAAGCAGTTCCACTGAAATCAATGAGGCAACCCCAAACACAACCCACTATAATCTGACTGAGGCTTAAGGTCAGTTAAAATGCTTCTGAATAATGGAGTGGAAGGCCATCCAATTCTAACTTCCTGATAAAAGAGTCAGAAAACATTGCTCTTTGAACTAAGAATTAGCTAGTTGAAAGACAGAAAAGCAATTAACCTAGTAATTAAAAATGAATGGGAAATAACTTTGTAGATCTTTAAAGAGAAAACTTCTGTTGTTAACTCTTAGAATATTTGTAAAGGACTAAAAGTGCACATCGCAGGTAGTGTTTTTTCTAACAATAATTACACTAACAAATACAGTCAATGCAGTAAGCACTGAGATTGAGGGAAGATAATATCCATCTCCCAATTGCTACACCATAGTTCTGAATAATGTGGTTTTGGAAACTAAATAGTGTGAACCACGGTTAATACTTGGATTACAGATTGCCAATGAATACTGGGTGCTATATGCTATATATGTCAGAGGAATGAACTAGGCAAACCATCTCTGAATATTCCTTGCCTAAGAAAAACCTCTGACATTCATGTGGTCGCCATATGTTAACAGGCAATTTGAACATACACACCAGACACATAATTGTTACAGTTAGTTGGATTTTCTTACTAATGCATGCACATACATTGAAGTACTGGAAACATTATGACATTTAATAACAACAATAGGTTGTTGTAGGTTTTTTTGGGCCATGAAAGCCTTCGACAGTACATTGAACAACAACAATCTTTATTTCTACCCTGGGGCGGCTTACATGAGGCCAAGCACGATAATACGTAACAGCAAAATACAGAACAACAAAGATATCATCACAATAAAA